AGGCACTGTGGCTCAAGTGGTAGAGTGCTAGCCTTGAGCTGAAGAGCTAAGGGACAGTGCCCTAACCCAGAGTTCAAGCTCGAAAGAAAAAAAAAAATGTAATTGCACCTCCAAATATCACTCACATTTGTCACAGGTAAATCACCAATGGCTACTATGGGGTGTAGATTTCAATGACAACACTCAAAACTCAAGAGTTCAGGCATTTGTCAAAAGCCAGTACAGCTGGGTGCTGCTGGCTCACACCTGTAATCTTAGCTACTCAGGAGCCTGAAATCTGAGGATTAGGGTTCGAAGCCAGCCCGGGTAGGAAAGTCTGTGAGACTTTTATCTCTAATTAACCAGCCAAAAGCTGGAAGTAGAATTGTAACTCAAGTGGCAGAGCCCCAGCTTTCAGTGAAAAAACCCAAATGAGAGTACAAGGTCCTGAATTCAAGCCCCCAAATCACACACACACACACACACACACACACACACACACACACACACACACAGCCATTACCACTCACTTCCCCAAGTCTACTCCTAGTACATGAACAGCAACAGATTCAAGTGATTCTCTGGAAAATTACGTTTGGGGTTTTGGGAATTCGGGGGGGGGGGTAAGGGGTTGTTTTTGTTTTTGTTTTTTGGTTGGTTGTGGTACTTGAACTCTGGACCTGGGCACTATCCCTGAACTTACTTTGAGACATAGCACCACTTCTGGTTTTCTTGTGGTTAATTGGAGATAAGAGTCTCATGAACTTTTCTGCCCAGGCTGGCTTCAAACCACAATCCTTAGATCTTAACCTCCTGAGTAGCTAGGATTACAGCTTAAAATTTTGTTTGTAAGAGGAAAAACCAAATGGGAAGCAACCCAAATATACCACAACACAGAAAGCAGGAATGCACTGAAGTACATTCCTGCATGAAACATTATCTGGCAATGAAAAAAGAGAAAACCATCACTACCCACCAAAACATAATATGAGCAGGAGCACCCCTGAAATGTTACATTGTATACGGTTCCACTAATAGGAAGCCAAACAATCAGGCAAAAACTAATTCACTGTAACAACGTTGGCTAAAGACTGGGGAGACAGCCAAAAGTCAAATGACTGGGAAGCCATTGGAACGGGAACCAGGGAGACCAGAGGAGAGTTCTTTACCAGAGGTGCCAAAGTCAGCTAATATCTGTATTTGCTGGGACACAACCACACTTACTCCTACAGGTTTATCTGTGGGTGTTTTGGTAAAGAAAATGTATGTCCTGAAAGGCCTAAAATATTTATCTTTCTAACGCCCATCTCCAGTTTGACTTGGGTGATGAGTCTCAGAGATGCTCACATACTAGGAAGTTCATCCACTTCGGCCAAATAACACATGTGCTGGGCTGTATTCAAATCATACTTCAGTGACACTTCCAAAGAGGCAGGGGTTTGGGATAGAGCTCGGTGGTAGAATGTGTGCTTATAAAAGGCCCCGAGTTCAACTCCACACACACACACACACACACACACACACACACACACACACAGTAGAAGAAGTGAATTAAATAACTGTGGGAAGGGGGTGGAGGGTTTAAACCCTCAAAATTTTCATTCCAGTTATAGTTGTCCATTTTGGGAGAATATGGCCATTTACGTTTATCTTTTCTAGAACTGAAGGAAAGTAGGCGATTCAAGTCAAATGCGGGGAAGATCTATCTCAACATGGAAATGGGACCAGATCCAAACCTTTTATGAGTGTGACATGCACACAGAATCCCTCAGAAGCCATTCACACAAACAGTGCACTTGGCCGAGTCCCCAAATTACAGGAGCCATGGGAAGGAAAAAGGCTAAGACTCATGTGATGCATGGTGTCAGACTACTGGAGGTTATTTTAGGATAGAGCTTAGGAGAGCAACAGGCTCTCTCAGGCATCTACTAACATACTGTATTTTATTTCATTTATTTATTTATTTATTTATTTATTTTGTGCCAGTCCTGGGGTTTGAACTCTAGGCTTGGGCACTATCCCTGAGCTTTTCTTCTTTGCTCAAGGCTAGTGCTCTACCACTTGAACAACAGCACCACTTCTGGCATTTCTGAGTCGTTTATTGGAGATAAGGGTCTCACCGTCTTTCCTGTCTGGGCTGGCTTTGAACTGTAATCCTCAGTCTCGGCTAGTAGCTAGGATTACAAGTATGAGTCCAGAAACACTGTATTTATAAAGGTGAAACCAGTTTTAAGTTTCCAGGGGAGAAAATCCCACCTTGACTGGCACGTTTGCAGTTCAGCCTCAGATAGGAGGGTGGAGCAAAAGCTCTGCTCACCACACACACATCAGAACAGCGCCACCCTTTCCTTGAACCCCACCCCCTTCCAGGTTGCTGCTGAGCTGCCCAGAGCTCTGGGAACAATTTCATTTTGTCTGAGATTCCCCCCTTTTTCCCTTCACTTCTTTTGTCTGGGGCCATTTTTCCTTTGATGGTCACACTAAAATTACAGCTCCATGCCATTTGGCGTGGCCTCGTGCTGGTCTATCAGACACACAGAGAATGAACACTGAATGCATGGTACTTGCTGTCTAATAAAATGTCCCTCTGTTTGCCCACATGGGCATGAAGCCTTCGCAAAGAGAAACAGGAGAGAACAATACTACCTGTTCATGGAGGAATAGTGATGTTTTCAGTCCTCCAAACAATGAGCTCTGTAATTTACCCCATCTTCCTCCTGAGAGAGAGCTTCACATGGCCCGTACGGTGCCAGGTGGTTTGGAGAAAGACGAACTGCTCCAGCCAAACAAGGGGCACTTCAACGCCGGGTGTAAAGACTCACCAGCTGGTCTGGTCTCGGCTGTCTCCCAGTGACATGGCCCCGGCCAGCCTTTCCACACCAAGATAAGCATCAGCACCCTATTCAGCCTCGACAATTCCCACACCCCAGGCAGCTAGGTTTCCAGAGCCCTCAGGACACTGGCTCTCCACCCATTCATCAGAACCTAGAGGAGGTACCTGGTCTCTAACCAAGGCCTGGGTCTAAGTGCTAGTCTGAAAACTAGACTTACTAAGCCATCACCAAAAAGGAAGGAAGTGGCTCATGCCTGTAAGCCTCAGACCTCAGTCTCCTGAGATCTGAGGATCTCAGTTCGTAGCCAGCCCTGGCAGGAAAGTCCATGATACTCTTGTCTCCAACTAACCACCAAAAAGCCACAAGTAGAGCTGTGACTTGAGAAAAAAATAACCTAAGGGACTGTGCCCTAGTTCTAAGTTGGAGCCCTAAGACTAACACACACACACACACACACACACACACACACACACACACACACACACACAGGCCTGCAACAGAAGTGTGCCAGAAAGAATTGCAGCACAAAGCTCACGACACACCAGTCTTGGAACTAGCTAGGGGGTGGTTGGTGAAAGTCAAGAGTCACACTTTCCCCTTAAACACATACACAGTAACCAGCAGCAGCACAACCAGAAAGGTAAACAAAATATTCTTAGTTACTTGAAATCAACCCAGAAAGATCAGGAACCCACCAAAGGGTGGCTGTGGCTTACATTTTCTTTTCTATTATTTTTTGACAGTACCTGAATTTGAACTCAGGTCCTCCTGCTTGCTAAGCAGGTGCTCTACAACTTGAGCCATGCCCACAGCCCTGACTCACACTTATTCCCCTCCTCCTCCTCCCCCCACCCCCTAACCGGTCAGGTCACAGGGCTTAAACTCCTGGGCTCCGCCCCTGAGCTTTTTCACTCAAGGCTAGTACTCTATCACTTGCTTTGAGCCACAGTGCCACTTCCAATTTTCTGGTGGTTAATTGGAGTCTCACAGTCTTTCCTGTCCAGGCTGGCTTGGAACCTTGATCTTTAGATCTCAGCCTCCTGAGTAGTTAGGATTACAAGCATGAGCCACCAGCACCCAGCTACATGCTTTTTTTTTTTTTTTTTAACTAAGTAGTGTAATTCCATATCTAGGGCAAATGGCTATTTCAAAGTCTTATGGATGACGATAGAAATTTGAAATGGCAAAGCCTTGTGGCAGGAGCTCTGTCAGACTGAATGCATGTGTGTGCACACGTACATACATACACACACACACACACACACATAACCCACAAGAGCTTCCTAAAAGAAAGAGAACAGCAGGATAGTGGAAATCCCCACCAAACTGACACAAGAAGAGAAGAACTGAGAGCCAAACTTCCAAACCACAATTCACAGTACCAACAGCCTCCCCACCAAGGGTTAATCCAGAACACTGAGAGTTCTGGTCCCATCAGTTACCCCATGCGCGCCCCAGCACCGCAAGGCCAGGCAGACAGAGGAAAATTGTATTAGTCTCCCTGCACTATTGCTTTCTGCTGGCTTCAGTTCAGCCCCTAGTCTATATTAGTTTGTGATTTGTTTAGCCTTTGGATTTAAGAGAATGGAAGTACTACGCGAGCAGGAAACAGGACACTCATCAGAAGCTGGGATCTGTCACCTTTCCCTTCCAGCACTTTCAACGGGCCCAAGAGAAACCAACATTTCAGGGCCATCAGGTCAAAAGTGATATTCTTAGCACCACTTAGTGTGATTTTGAGCCACCGGAAACGACGCTCTTGGCAGTCACATGGTCTCCTCTCCCGTCTGCCCTCACTTCATTCTTCCTGTTCACATTTTGTCATCACGTTTTCCTTCCAAGTCAAAATCCCTCCCAAAGCCAAAAGCAGTAGCCAAGCTCTGCCCATGATGCCTGATCAAGATACTCATAAACAGGTTTCCTTTCTGTATCTTTAAATCATTCCAGCAGCATTTCTTCTACCCTTTCTTCTTTTCTGCTGCACAACTCCCCCAGTGATTCAGCCATACCACCACTACCACCATCACCACCATCATCATCACCATCACCATCATCGTTATCAAAACATCACCATCATCATCATCATCATTATCATCACCACCATGTAGGTCAGGGAGGGGCAGACAATAAGACACGAGAGACCTACACATTGATAAATCAAACTTCAGAATCTCTTGTGGTTCCTACCTGAATTGCAATCTGGTGTTCAATCGTTTTGTACGCAGAGTAATGTGTGCTGCCGGACTGAAAATGGAGCTGTAGGAAAAAACCAAATCAAAGCGTTCTGCTGATGTCACAAACTACAAGAATACATCTTAAGCAGTTTATGAATAGCAGACAACCCTCCCTAGATTAATCTGTAGCCTTGGCATTCAATCAAGACCTGCGTACTTTTTATTTGTTGCTATGGATAAGATGATCATACCAATCTAAGCTTTTAAAAAATAAAATAAAGCATCAATTCAGTAAGCAAATAAGGGGAGGGGGACAGGAATGAGACTCAATGACATGAAAAGAGAAGACTGATGCCCACTAAACATAAAGGAAGCCAGTATGCTGAGCAAGAGGCTGAAGAAACACTAACGGGGCAGCAAAAAGTTATCAGCATTGCGACATGAAGGGGAAAGGAGACACAGAGGACGGGTTGTGAGAAGCCCCAGACTGCAGCGAGTAGAAGCCCCCTCTCCTCCTAGTTCTAGTAACAGGGACTTGCCTCTCCAACACACATCTATTTCTGGGAAAACAAATGTGTCTGACAGAACGCAGGGGCCACCCAATGCCTTACACATTCTTTCACAATGACTCAGCTGTGGGCCCAGGAGGTCTGTGCAGCCCGCATTCTAGTAATCTGCACTTCCCCAAAGGGCGTCAAGGATTGCCCAAGAGCCAGCCACCAGTCTGCTAAGAACCACTCCTTGCTAAATCACAGGCTTACTCAGCCTCTCCCCAGCTCAAGGCCAAGTCTCCTCACCCCAGCCTTTCCCACTGTAACCCCTACAGGACCACCCAACACAGAAGGGAATATCCCCACCATAAAAGGGATACCAAGATTCCTCACTACATTCTTATCCCTCCCCCAAAGAGCACTTATTAATCTGGAGATCCAACTGAGTAGAAAAGCAAATGTCCCCTGTTTGGTGTCTAAACAACCCACTTGAGGATCTCAGCAGTTATATGAAAATTAAGTTGTGATGTTTCAAGGAGGAGCAATCAGATGGTACCCTGCCTGACCCCCATCCCTCATCCCACAGAAGGCACAAGCAGTTCATCTCTGCATATACAGAGGTACCACAAACTATTGTCCGAACACTTCCCTGTCATGACAAACAAAAGCATCATTTGGCCTTGAGTGAGATCCAGAGCCAATCAGTTCTTATTGTTCTCTTTGAAAGAAAAGTCTCTCAACCAACCCAGTTTGTCTTTTCCAAAAGGAAAACAACAACAACAAAAAAAAAAACTCGTAAAACCTTTTGAACTAACTCAAAATATGCACACCTCAGTACTAGTCAATTAAAAAAAAAAATCTATGCCCTTCCTGAGATGAAACAATGCATTCATCTCAGGATACAGTGGGTTCTGAGATAATTTCATCTCTTCCAAATCAACAGAGATTATCTCTATATCTACATATATATATATATATATATATGCATGTTATGTTTATACCAAAACAGATTAATCAAAAATAAAAAGAAGAGGGGCTGGGAAGTTGGCTCAGTGGTAGAGTGCTTGCCTTGCATGCCTGAGGCCCTGGGTTCGATTCCTCAACACCACATAAGCAAAAAGAAAAAAGCCGGAAGTGGCACTGTGGCTCAAGTGGTAGAGTGCTAGCCTTGAGCTGAAGAGCTGAGGGACAGTGCCCAGGCCCAGAGTTCAGGCCCTACGACCGGACCAAAAAAATAAAAAAATTAAAATAAAAAGAAGAGCAATTAAGGGGGAGATGTGTGTGTGTGTGTGTGTGTGTGTGTGTGTATGTGTGTACTTGTCAAAAAAACTACACTCCCTGAAACAGGAAACAAAAGTGAGTGCTTTTGTTTGTAGTGACAGGGAAGAAGAAGCCCCTCACCCTCCTCACCCCTATGCACAGCCCCCTATACACCTATACCCCCCATACACCCTCTATACCCCACCACCCCTAGACACACAGCCTCCACCCACTCAGAGGCAGTCCATCCAAAGTGAATCACTGAATAAGGAAAGCAAATTTGTACGCTCTTTGTCTCCTTGCTCTTTTTGTAAAAACTGCCCATCAGAAAGCAGGGATCGCACACAACATGGTGACAATTCCTCAGCGCCTTGAAACCAGGTTTGTGCCTGGGACAGGTCTCTCTGCAAGCTTGACATTCTTAGCCAGAGAGCAGCTCCTGTGTGAGCGGAGGTGCTCCTGAGCAGAGTGGGTGACACTAACAACTTGTCTCTTCTCTTTTCAGCCCCGAGGTTTGTTTTATTCTCTTCTTTTCCAATTGCCCGATTCAGAGCTTAATGGAAACTTCTCCAAGCTTTTCTTCCCACAAACCCCGTGGAGCCCTTGGCAATCTGTAGTCCAGTAACCACAGGAATCTTATATTGTCAATTAAAATGGAATGGACACCTGATAGCTAAGGATAATGTCATGGAAAATAATTTCATACAGTCACAGTCTTATGAATCAATTAATAAAACTGTAGCTAAGCCAAATTCAATTCTCACTTGTCCAGTTCTATTCTTCAACGCACCCCCCCTTGCCTTCCTCATCACCAAATAACACCAACAAAACAGAAGGAGGAAAAAAAGTGCAGCTGCAACTTTCTGAACACTCTGCTCACAGAGAAGCCTTCCATCACACACACACACACGTGTGAGTGCACACACAACACCCACTCCAGGCAATGTAACTTCCTGCAGGTATCCAACAGCACAATAAAAGCAACTCATTCTGCCTAAATCAGATCCTCACTTCCAGCCAGTAACTATTGGGTCTCACAGAGATTTCCAAGCTCCACTACCTCCAGCTACAGCAGTGAAGGCCTAAAGTTTTTCTCATTATTTCTTTGGGTTTCCACCTGTCCTCTTTTCTGAAACGTATACTTTTCACTGCTTTCGTCTTCCCCATGTAAAACGCAAAGATGCTTGCTGATGCATAGTCCAGCTTTTGAAGACAAAGGTAAAAACACAGATCGTCGGTAAAGACTTAGCACTCTAAACTGGAATGATCATGTCTCTCTGGCTCTAAAAGCAATAAGGAAGGAGAGATCAAGAGCTGGTTGACCCCCTGACATCCTGGGCTTTGGAAATGGAAGGGAGGTGAAGGTCTGGGACAACAAGGCTGGGTTGAAGAACCAGGTGCCCACGTGACTCGACTCCTGGGGCTGCCCTGCACCACTCACCCAGGAGTCTTCAGGTCACTTCCTCATCCAGCAACTGTGGAATCTCAACCTGGACATGTGCTGTGTACTTCCCTCTCTGCTGAATACCCAGGAAAGCCACCGCAAGAGCTGTCCAGAGGACTTTCATTTCTTCCCTCCCATGAAACTCAGTACCATGACATTTTCCTTTCCTGGGGTTTTATCAAGTTCATCCACTCATCATTTTACTACAACTCCCATTGACCCTCATCTGTCCAGAAAGAACTGAACAGTTCGCAGCACACAGCTTGCTCAGTTCATTTTATCATGAACCCACTTCCCCGGTTACCATATCCTGTTTTAGTTCTAATTCGTACTACTAAATCTAAAGCTGATGCCCCTGATACAGGAACACCAGAAATATCCACTGATGGAAGAGGAAACTGTTTCTTTCAACCGCAAGAATCTCATGCTCCAAGACACCACCAAAAAAAAAAAGAGCCTAATGTTGGTTTTTCCAACATGAACTTAACTTCCAAGGGCATGAAGAAGCTAGTGCCAATTCATCCCACTAAATTGGGAAGCGGTAGAGCACTTACTTTATTTTCAGAGTTTTATGAATTGTCTGGCTTTCACTTTTATATGTTTAAAAAAAAATAACAGATCCATGTCCTAAGAGGTTTTGGATTTCTTAATTTTGTTGGGGGTTTTTGGTCTACTTTTCCTCTCTAGCCTTCTATGAGCCTCTTGAGGTCTAATTTCCATGTCATTAGCTCAAAGGACAAAATATTTATTACCGTATCTAAGAGCTTTGCTTATATTATCAGTCATGGGGAGGGGAGGCGCTGAAGCAAAAAAAAAAAAAAAAAAAAGCCACAGACCATCATATGCATAGCCTCACCCCTGCTTCTTTGTGAAGAGCCTTTTTCATTTAGTAGGGAATAAAACTCCTGACCAGGACTGCTTGTCCTCAAAAATGCCAAAGGAGTGTTCTGACTTCGAGAAGAACAAAACACCAGGATAACTAGTAAGTTCCTAGATGGAACCATGCATGCAAATAACTAGAAACCGAGCAGGGCACTGGAGGGCTGATGTCGCTGATCCTAGCTACTCAGGAGGCTGAGATCTGAGGATCCAAGTTCCAAGCCAGTCCAGGCAGTCTATGAGAATCTAATCTCCATATAACCAGCAGAAAGCTGGAATAGTATGGGTGTGGCTCCAATGGTAGAGCACCACCCTTAAGAAAAAGCCAATAAAGAGCTAAAGGCCCAGAGTTCAAGCCCCAGTCCAGGCACACAAAAAAAGAAAAAAGAAAAGTATCTAGACAGAACATCTGTAGCATTGCATTCTAAGGCCAGTTTTGCCTTCAGAAAATCATCTGCAACAGAACTCAGTCTGTAAACGTAAGGACAATCTCTCCCCTACCGTATCAGTGTCTATTACCCTCATGTCTATTTACCCTCATTAATTTTTTTTTCTTTTCCTCAACCTGAAACCATCAGCTATGAGTCAGAAACCGATCATTAAGTTTTACAGCTTCCATACATATCCACCTACTCACATTTGGGGAAAGAAGTATTGACTTGCAACATTGCCTGAGACCAAAATCCTCTAAGAAGGAAAAAAGGGGGGGAGGGGGGAATCGCTTCAAGAAAGTTTTATCTACAGGTCTCCAAGGGGAATGTTAACATTCGTTGTTTCTCTGCCTCATGCTATACAATCTCTAGGCAAAAAAAAGTAAGCTAAGGTTGAACCAGGCTGATGGCAATACGTCTTTCTGGATTAAGTGTGTGAGAGAGATTAAAACTAGCTGGTTTTCTTTACGCATCAAAACATAAAGTTCTTCAACTAGAGGGGAAAGTAAGTGCATCATGTTTCCTGCTCTTGTATAACAAATTTCTCAGCAGAGGGGAAAAAAAAT